TCAACGGGAGGAACGCTCGTTATTCGGCTTGCCTTACTGTCGGGTTTGTCGCGTCAGGATGAAGTCGTGGCAGACACTAACAAAGCATATCACACAAGGCATGTGCCTCAGAGTCAAGGAGGCAGTGGGGAAAGGCATCAGCATCGCATCACTACTTCAGGACATCAAGAAAGAGGAACTGGACAATCCGCCACAACTTCCGGATGGAGACATTGGCAACATCCTCAGCAGAACCTCCAGCGCGGAATTGATGAAGGTTGTTTACAATGCTCCCCTCAAGGATCTGGCGCGGCACAGTCCAACGCTTCAGGCACACGCGTCGCAGCGCTTGCTTTGTAGACGGTGGATGATACAACCAGGGTGCGTCAAGTCGCACTGGCAGGCGACACATGCTGCAGCTTGGAAGGCTTGTCACCAACACGCCACTTCAGAATCGCAAAGCTTGTGTGCACTTTTCCGGAGACCGTGCTCATTCTGTGGAAGTCAAGCACGCAACACCAGGTTGCACTCCCAGCAGTGTCCCATGATGTTTCAAATTCTTGCGATGCGACACATCGAAACACAAGGCCTGGACCTCCAGCACATGTGTGGAGGAAAGCAGGCAGTGGACAAGCAGGACATCAAGATTCCAGCGTACAAGTCGTTTGTTTCGCCATTGCAGTTAGCTTTTGCCAAAGGAGCCAGGGACACGGAAGGGGCGCGAAGGCCAATTCAGTCGGAGCTCAAATCAGACAATGCTACTCCCAAAATCCCGATTCGCACTATCGCGGAGGTTGAAAGGAAGCGTGCTGCCAAACCGGGCACACTTCAGGCCTACTTTTCAAGCTCCAATGCAAGAGTGGTCAGACCCGAAATGGATATGCAGCAGGCTCCGTACACCTGTCGACTTCAACTGCGCAATCCTCATGCCATTTGCTACATCAATGCTGGGGTGCTTGCAGTCCTACATGCGTGTCAGTTGGCAACACGCTGAGGTGCGAGAACTTGGATTTCTGGTCAAGGTGGCCAATTTGGCAGCCTCTCGGGCACAGCCCATGTTATTGATACAGATGCTTTAACTCCTACTTGGCAGTTTGGACCAATGCAACAGGACACAGCAGAGTATACGTTCATCTACTACTTCAGGCGCTTCCCGAGATTCCATCTACTTGGGACACACGGGTCATGGAGGATGGGGAACTCAAAATCAGCATGCAAGGCAGCAGCCCCATACATCTTCGGTTCCCGCATGGTGCCCAGCAGCAGTGCCAGCTGCAGGAAATTGTGCAGTTGTGGCATGTCCATGAAGCCGATGGTTATACAGCCCTCACATACCCCTTTCAGGTTGTGTGCCTTCAACTTGGACGGTACGCAGAGGTGGGCAAAAGCAAGTTGGCGGTCGAGCTCCCTGCCACTGTACTTCTGCCCTTCTTCGACAGTGATACACCTGGGAAGGTACACCGATAGAGGACATTACCGTGCGCTTCTTCGTGTCGGGAGCCTATGGTGCATCACTCACGACAGCAAAGTTGCTGAGCCTCTTCGATTGCATGATGGACACCTTAAAAACACCTACGTGATCATGTGTGGCATCGGTTCCGCGGCGGCATTGCCGCCAGAAGCGCTAGACATGTGATTGAGGTGTGGCCCAAGCCCGCGAAAACACTGCGCCCCCTGCCGCTTGTCTGCTCTCATGACCGGAGCAGTGGAGAAACAAGAGGCTGGCTTCTTTGATCAGTACTGGCCTGCTATTGGCTCCGCTGCACCATCCACAGGTCCCCCATCTTCGCATCAATCGGATGATCCAGAGGACAGAGCAGCCAAGCTGGCCAAGACTCAAACACAGGGGAAAGGAGGCAATGCGCAGCGTGGAGGCAAGCAAGGGTCACACAAGTGCAGGGAGAGGGAGCAGACGTGGGATAACAGCTGGAGTGGGTGGAAGAACAAGTCTGATCACGAAAGGGCCCTGGGAGACGAGGTCAAACAACTTCGAAACTGTGTTATCGCGCTGCAGCGCATGATGCTGCGGCAAGAGGATTTCACGGCGTGTCTGAGAGCTGAAATTTCGTGGGTGATGTTCCTACGCCTGGATATGCGAGCCACGGTTGTTCCAGCACTTTTCCAGATGCAGCAGAAGTGGAGAGACATGAAAGCGCAAACTCCAGATCTCCTCAAGGGCCCTATGAGAGTCGCGTTAGTGCAGCAGCTCTTCAAGGAATTGGGCACTCGCCTGAACCAGTTCCCGGATCAGGCTGATCACGTGGAGACTCTCAAGAACCTTGGATGGTACGAGCCCAGCAGTCGCAACTGGCATTATGTTCGATGGGATGCGGACAACGAGCGCCTGGTGCCAGATTCCTCAAAGGAGCCTGTTGGGTTTGAGAAGCTCGCTGCTATCATGCTGGCGTTGCAGCAGTTAGCTGAGATTCCGGGAACAATCATGAGGTACCATCCGAGCCGACCCATGGAAGAGACCATGGGCGGAAAGAACCTAACATTCTGCCTGCAGCTGTGTGTTATGGGAGATTCGGCTCGACAATTCAGAGAACATCTGGGCGTGCTGACCGGATTGAGTGTCACGCAGCTGGTTGGAATGGGGCTAAGGCCTGACAGGAACACAAGGTCCGGACTCGCAAAAACATCATCCAGAAGCAGATCCAGGAGCTCATGGACGGAGAGTTGTGACGAGGCTATCGCTCCAATGGGACTATCGGTCCGGGTAGCCTTGCTCACACATGCAATCCGATAGTGCAATTTTGCGGGAGGGCCATCATCATGCTTGCTGTTATGATGTTGCGGACATTTTGACCACAGCTGCTGTCCCATATAGCTTGGTTGCAGCTTCGACATTACTCAAGCAAGGCCGTGACAGCGCACTTCAGCCGCATGCTTCGTGCAAACCCAGTCTAAAACAAGATTTTACAGATGCAAGAGTGGTGCTCAGGATGCGTCCGGAGATAGCGTATGCAAATACAGGTCGAGATGCCACACATCAGCAACACGGGCGCGATATCATGGACAAGTGCTCCCTGTTTCGGCCTCTGGGTTGTGCGCATTGCTCGCTAAGGTTTGAGCCGCAAGTCTGTTGATGACTGAGGGAATCATTTCAGACAGTTTGATTGGTCGCATGCCTCGGCTCACTCGCAGATCAGCCATCACTCGCTCAGCGGAGTCCAATGAGCTGGGGCAAACGGCTCAATGGGGGCCTTGGGGCCCCATTGGTCCTGCGCTTGACTGAGTCAGACGAGTCAGATGAAGAGCGAGGCCTTTGATCGTGTTGAGCCTAGTCCTTTTGAGCGCTCGACCTACTTGCAACTTCCCATTGAGAACTTCATGATCTTTGGAGGTAGTGGAGATCAGGACAAGAGTGCTCCACATAGGAGTGCGCCAGCGAGCTCCAATGAGTGTGTAGAACAACAGTCACACGAAGAGCACAGTACATCACAGCAGATCGGCACTGGCCCAGCACAGCGGCAGGAGACGCATGAGGCGCACGTGATTCAAGCATTCATTGAGTCTCTACACGGGGCAAGAAGATGCATACTTGACGTTTCGAGTCCCATCTGCAGTGGCTGAGTTCAGAGTTACGCCAACATCCAAGGTGGAGGAGATTGCATCGAGTTGCATAAACAATGGTAGGGTTTCCTTCCTGCAAATGCGTTACATCATGCTAAAGAGGTTGGTCGGTTTCAGTCCGTGGAGATTGGCGTGCCGTCGAAGGGTCGTGGTATTCAATTTGGCAGATGGGTTTTGAGAGGAAATGCTGGCATTCTGAACACCACTGAAACCTTTCCCAACGTGACGCAGTTGCTGTGCTGTGTTGTGAGTAGCCTTCGGCCTGATGGCTTTTTCAGCGCGGTTTTCCTTTCCCTGAACGTACCAACTGGTCTTCATCGAGATAGCCACAATCATGAAGAAGTTGAAAACACACTGATTCCCCTGAGTCTCTTCGAAGGTGGAGAATTGTTCGAGGAATCAGCGGATGGAGGACATCAGATTGAGTGCCATGGGATTGTTGGCAACATCAAACCCATCACCATGCCGTTTACCTCCTTGAAAGCTCGACGACTTCATCAAGTACTACCTTGGGCAGGCGACAGGTTCGTCCTGGGGGCATACCACATCAGAGACCCTTGGCGATTAAAAGCCACCGAGGTAAGGCATCTCAAGGCCATGGGAATGCAGCTGCGCATTCCACTCAATAACGAGCCGGGGGACACGGCGTGTATGCACAAAAGCGCTCCAACTTGCCATGCGACGTGTGAGTTTCCATGAAGCTGCCGGTGTGTACAGCCCCGCATCCTTCAGGTACAGATTGCTGAGTGGGCACCGCCAGCGTAGTTCCTGCCAAGTTGCATCGTATGGCACCAGTACATGTTGAATATGCCGTAATTCTCGCTGCTCATTGGGACTAACGGTCCGGGCGAGGAGTCATTGCACGTTTTTGTCGATACTGTCTGAGCCACGTTGCTCTCTCTCTTATTGTTGTTAAGTTTCGGCTCAGCTGTGATGGCCGAGTCTAAGACTCGCCCTTAGTGCCGCCACGCAAGGACGTTCTCGAACGTTTGCGCCACGGAAGGAAGTAGTAGTCGTAGTCGTAGTCGTAGTCGTAGTCGTAGTCGAAGGCGTAGTCGTAGTCGTAGTCGTAGTCGTAGTCGTAGTCGTAGTAGTAGTCGTAGTCGTAGTCGTGGTAGTAGTAGTAGGCGTCGTCGTAGTAGTAGTAGTAGTAGTAGTCGTAGTCGTAGTCGTAGTCGTAGTCGTATTGGTATTAGTAGTAGCAGTCGTAGTAGTAGTAGTATTTTTTTGTTGTTGTGGTGGTGGTAGTGGTGGTCGTGGTATCGGTATCGGTAGTGGCATTGGCGGTGGCAGGGGTCGGGCCACGGGCAGAGGTAGGGGTAGCGTTAGTGGTGACACTGGTAATAGCAGCACTCTCAACAAGATGCCCTAGCAATACGATCAGAAGGGCTTCAAAGGTCTGAGAAGAAAGCCTCCCTGGACTGCCCTAATCTTCCCACCGCGAGGAGCAGACAAAAAAGACGCCCAAGTCGAACCCGACATGGCATACCGAGGTGGGCTTGACATTTAGGACTTTAGGACTGGACTTCTTGTTCTGTTTTGGCCTTGGTGAGGGCTTCCGGGGGCTTGGACTTAGGGGTTTGGACTGTGACACCAGTTCTGTGAAGCCCTGCAGCCCTTGGTGCATTTGACCATTGAAATCTTGCATCTGTGAGCCCCGAGACCGTTGCAATTCCCAAGTCCGATACGGCTAAGCTTTCCCAATTTACCCATCCACCCTACTCCCCACAGACAGCCTGACAAACCCAAACGCCGAACCTAAACCCTTCAAGCCCCCACAAAGGCCCCGCAGCGATTCCGAAACCCCAAAGCCCTTGCAGCCCCAACCCAAAACCAACTCGAAACTGTACTTGCAAATTGAAGTTACACACCGGTAGTTAGAAGTAGGATTCTAAAGTATTCCAGTCGGGGTTAGAAGTAGATACAAATCTATGCCTGCTTTACTTGCAATGCATAGTATCTGTACCTACTCAGTCGCATGATCCTTAACAAGCTAGCCCTTAAACCCCGAACTAGTATCTAGATCCTTATGCTTATACTACCCCTTAAAAAATGCGCTGCGACCGAACGCGCTTTCCCGGAGGTGTCGCCCCCGGGAGCCGTGCCGACGGAGCCCTCCGTGGCATCGGTGCCGGCGAGGACTTCTCTCAGGTTTTTTGGCATCCAGGAGTTAGGATTTAGGCCCATGTCGGGGATATGTTTCGCGGTTCAATCGGGGTACTTGAAGGAGGTCCTTACAATCAAGATCCGTCAAGGTTTGAAGGTTTCGAGGTTTCGGCTTTTGCCAGACATGCTCCACCCACAGTCAACAGTGTGCAGCGTGCAGCGCTCTGTGCCTACGACATATGCGGCTCTTCGCAGCAGCCTGTGGTATGGGACTCAAAAGGTCGAGAGTCATCGTCCGTTCGGGCGTTGGCTTGACTGCTCTTAGGAATTATGTTTTTCTTTTAACATAACTTAAGGGGATTAAAGCTACTATCATGTTAGTTTGGTTCTACGGGCGGCTAAGGTTGGGGCCCAAGGTGGAGACTAGGGGAATGGACTTCAGGGTATTGGAGTTTTTGAGGTTTCGGGGCTTTAGGTCCTCCCAAGGCTTTGTACTGTTTCGGGCTTTGGCATTTCAGATTCGGGGTTTTGGCATTTCAGGCTTTGCGGTTTCGATATTCGATATTGGATTCATGTTGGGGTAGTCCTAGAATTAGTCTGGATCTATAGGATTTGGGTGTCGCACTTTGCCGCCCTAAGCGCAGGTACGCCCTCCAGGGCCCTGAGCCTTGAACTGCTTTGATGGCTCCGCGTTGCTTCGAGTGAAGACAATGGCCAGCTTACTTCCCATTTCTGCTGACAGCAATAGAGGGTGGCTTTAAAATTGTCGATTATACTGTAGACTGCACTGTAAATTACAGGCAGATTGTCTAGACTCGAAAACGTACTGTTCGGCCAGGAAACGCCGTGCCTCAGTGGACGAGCTGATGCTGAAGGCACGGGGTTCAGGGGTTCTTCGGGTGCAAGGTTAGGGTTTGGGGTTTTCGGGTTTAGGGTTGTTTAGGGGTTTGGGTTTAGCGGAGTGTCCCTCCAAGGTTACGGTAGGTATTGGTAGAGTTCAGCCTGTCGGACCCCGGGCTTTAGATCACGGCGTGTAACGTAGGGTTGAATGCAGCGCTTTATTAATGCTGCAAGCTTCAAAAACAGCTGGGATGTCAGCGTCAGGAGGTGTGTCGGGACCGGAAGATGCGACAGTTTACAGGCTTCGAGAGTTCTTGGAGACGTACAGGGGTGAAGGGTATCTCTAAATCCCGAGATCCTAAAGCCCGAAAGCCCTAAAGCCTCTTCTGTCCCTACAAAGCCAGACATCGTCCACCCGTGCTCAATTTCCACCAAGTTTACACCTAGCAAATTTCATTTTGGGTCTGCAGCTCTGAAGTCTCCTTCATAACCAGATCTCCCCCAACAACCCTACTCGAACTCTTACGACTCTTGCGCCCTCAACTCTATTTTCATGAATCCTGAAGCCTTGTCTCCCTGAGCTTTAGACCCACACCCGAAAATTCTTCTGATTGAGACGTAAAGCCGGCACGGCACCATAAATGTTCTCTAGAAATACCAGCCTAGGTACAACCCTATACAAAGCTATAGGCACCCCATGTGAACCAAATCCAAGCCCCTAAACTCGTCAAGCGATTAAGACTTTGCTAACTCAACGGAAACCCTCAGGTGCCCCAAAGCCCGAACCCTTAGATCCTGAAGGGGTTTCCCTTCAGACACCCTGACGCCCCCGCCTAAACCCAAACCCCTAGATCCCATAACGGAACCCTAATTCCTAATCCCTGATTACGGCGCCCCTTGAAGCCCTAACCCTAAACTCTAAACCTTAAACCCAAACTCCTCGAGGGACCCTTAAGGGACCCCCCAGCAAAAAGCACACCTACTATAGGAGCCTAAGTAATTACCTATACTATTGTGGGGGTTCCTTATTATAAATATTGTATATAAGGGCCCCAAAACCCTATTCTATTTATTAAGGCCGCTATGCTATAGAACCTTACTCTACATCCCTTATAGACCCCTTTTCAGGAACCCTTTAAAGGAACCCTATTCTAATTATCAAGGCCCCTAAATCATAGTACCCTTATAGATCCCTTAAAGTAACCCTTATATAGGGCCCTTTAAAGGGAACCCTACTCTAAGTATCAAGGCCCCTATGTTATAGTACCCTTATAGATCCCTTATAGTAACCCTTTAAAGGAACCCTATTCTAATTGTCAAGGCCCCTACAGTACACGAGTACCAAGGCGAAGTCCGGAGCAGCCGAAGCCTACAGAGGCCATCGGAGCTACCGGGGCCTCGGGGGGCAGGGGTTCGAGGATAAACACAGGTTTAGGATATTTTAGGGATCCAGGGTTTAGGGGTGTAGGGTTTAGGGTATTCAGCGATTTGTGGTTTAGGGTTTAGGGTATTCAGCGATTTGGGGTTTAGGGTTTAGGGATTTAAGGTTTAGGGTATTTAGCGATTTAGGGATGTAGAGATGTAGGGTTTAGGGTTAGCGATTTAAGGATTTAGGGTTTAGGGTATTCAGCGATTTAGGGTTTAGGGTTTAGGGAGTTAAGGTTTAGGGAATTTAGCGATTTAGGGATGTAGGGTTTAGGATTAGCGATTTAAGGATTTAGGGTTTAGGGTATTCAGCGATTTAGGGTTTAGTGTTTAGGGATTTAAGGTTTAGGGTATTTAGCGATTTAGGGATTTAGGATTTAGGGATGTAGGGTTTAGGGTATTCGGCGATTTAGGGTTTAGTGTTTAGGGATTTAATGTTTATTTAGCGATTTAGCGATTTAGGGTTTAGGGATGTAGGGTTTAGGGTATTCAGCGATTTAGGGTTTAGGGTTTATGATTTAAGGTTTAGGGTATTTAGCGATGTAGGGATTTAGGGTTTAGGGATGTAGGGTTTGGGGTATTCAGCGATCCAGGGTTTAGGGTTTAGGGATTTAGGGTTTAGTGTATTTAGCGATTTAGGGTTTAGGGTTTAGGGATGTAAGGTTCAGGGACCGATTTAGGGTTTAAGTTTTGGGATTTAAGGTTTACGGTTTCAGCGATTCAGGGTCTAGGGTTTAGGGATGTAAGGTTTAGGGAGCGATTTGGGGTTTAGGGTTTCGGGATGTACGGTTCAGGGTATTTAGCGATTTGGGGTTTAGGATTTAGGGATGTGCGGTTTAGGGTACTTAGGGATTTGGGGTTTAGGGTTTAGGGATGTGCGGTTGAGGGTATCTAGCGATTTGGGGTTTAGGGTTTCGGGATGTACGGTTCCAGGGTACTTAGGGATTTTGGATTTAGGGTTTAGGGATGTAATGTTAGGGGTATTTGGCGATTTAAGGGTTTTAGGGTTTAGGGATGTGCGGTTTAGGGTAATTTTCAGCGATTTAGGGTTTAGGGTTTAGGGATGTAAGGTTTAGGGTATTTATCGATGGAGGGTTTAGGGTTTAGGGACGTAAGGTTTAGGGTATTTAGCGATTTAGGGTTTAGGGTTTAGGGATGTACGGTTTAGGGTAATTTTTATCGATTTAGGGTTTGCAGGGTTTAGGGTTTAGGGATGTACGGTTTACGGTAATTTTTAGCGATGGAGGGTTTAGGGTTTAGGGACGTAAGGTTTAGGGTATTTAGCGATTTAGGGTTTAGGGTTTAGGGATGTACGGTTTAGGGTAATTTTTAGCGATTTAGGGTTTAGGGTTTAGGGATGAGGGTTTGAGGATTAGGGTTTAGGGTTTGGGTTAGTTTACCCTTACTGCAATGACTTTCTGCAGCCCATTATGCTGCGGCATTGTAGTGTTTGAATATGCAATCAGTCAGTTTTTATGAATGCAAAGTAGGGGCTGAGGGTTTAGGGTTTAGAGGGATTTCTCTACTTGTTAATTTGTTGCATTGTTGAACTCGTGCCTAAGACTGGAGTAGGATAGTAAATGTTTTAATGTTGGAAGTGGTACTGGGAGTTTCATCGGGGAGTGTTTGCGAGGTTTTGCTTTTGTGGGGCGGTTTGTTACAGCCGGGGGTACCTTTGTATGTGTCCACCTGACAAGGGTCGTATTGATCTTTTTTAAAGTTTGGACTTAGTGACCCAGTCAAAAATCTGTCATTGAGGGTAGTCCTTTGGCAGCTCTTAGCTTTTATCATGGAGCTAAAGCCGGCATCTCCTCCAAATCAGGAGAACAGGGGCTGAGAGTTGAGGCTTTGGTTGGTGTTAGGGTTCGCGGTTTAGGGTGGACCCACACCTCTGACCTCCAACCCGATTCAATCGCAAGTGTTTTCGAGCGCCACGCCCGAATCCTGACCCCAACACCGAAACCCTAAACCCAAACCCAACCCCCCGAAACAACACCAAGAAGCCCGAACATCCACAGCACCAATATGCAAAGATAGATACACCACAAAATCGTCAACCCTGAACCTGAACCCTGGCTCCCGGCGCAGGGCTCACCATGGATCCTGCCAAAGCGCTTCAGAAGAAGCGCGAGCGTCTGCAGGAGGCGCCACCCTGGCAAGGGCTCCAGGGGTTTTAGTCTATGCGGCTCTTGAGTTTATGTGATGTTGCAGTTTATAAGGCTTTGAGTAATGATCGTTCCTCAGAGATTTTTGGGGGTTCTTTGAGGGTTCGGGGTTCTACTGTAGGTCTCTTCTCCCTTTTACCCTTCATTTGGGGTTCACTTACGGACACTACATGGTTGCAACAAGGGTGCCCTCATTGCTCATTGGAGACTGGGAAAACCAGGTTCAAGAGTGGGGCTGTGACTGCTCGTTGGGTCTCAGGAGTTTGAGGTGTTAAAGCACAAGGGAAAGGGCTTATGGGTAAGGTTTCGGGGGGTTGGGGGTTTAACCATGCACCCAGTGACCCAGTGCGAATTCCTCAGCCCAAACTAGAGACCGAAAGCACTCAACATAAACTGCACAGCTTTCACCACTCTGACAGAAGCCTCAACATCCTGAACTTGCTGCTGTGGCCCTAAGCCCGAGGCCCCTTACGATTTATAAGTCATAAACCTTTCTGGACCCTGACAAACCCCAAGAAGCAAGCCTCAAATCTCACCCCGTCCCGAAGCTCACGTGGAGGCCTGGGTTGAGCCAGAGTCGTCTCTTCGGCAGCAAAATACCAATGTTGCTTTAGAGTGTTGCTATCTTTTTATGTTTAATGGTTCGGCATTCACGTTCTGTTGACGTGCTAAGGGTCTGCAAGCAAGAAGCCTTACGTTTGATCTTTGCTGAGGGTTAGGGCTTGATCTCATAGGTTGCGGTTGGTGCAAGAAATAGTCCAGGTGGTCGGAATGTTCGGTTTGGAGGTGTTTCATTTGGGGTTGAAGGTGCACACCCCGGAACCCTTCCCAAATCTTAAGCCTAAATGCTGCAAGCATCGGCGCGAGCAGCTTGTTCTTGCGACTACTTGCCTAACCGTTTCCCGTCGATTGTGAGTTGCTAAGCATAGCTTCCGAGCGCCGCGCACCCAGGGGCACCCCGAATCGTGTGCCCGTAGCTCCAGCTGCAGTGCCCTTCAGCCTGGCCTGAACCCCAGACACGCTCGAAGCAGGACAGGCAAGCCGAAACCTGGCAAACAAGCCCTACACTTAATGATGTGGTTAAGATATTGTAGCCATGCTGAGAGCCGCGGCAGGGATTCCGCAACCACGTTACTTTGAAAAGACCGACAGGCAGAATTGTGCGGCCTTGCCAGGGCTTCAGAAACTTCGAGCGTATTGAAAGCACCCTCCCGACTGGCAAACTCCACGTGACACCGGTGATTTGGAGACTAATTACTTCACATGGCAAAGCCCGACTGGCCCTGCTTCGTGCGATTGATGCCAAAGTCTTGATTTTTGCAATGAGCTGCAGCCACGACCTCAGAGTAACCACTTTTAGTCACACGTTTGGAAAGACTTTCATAGTCACTCTTACAGCAGCCCTTGTAGTAAACCGCCGTAGTAGCGCTAAATAGTAAGCCTTTGTGGTAACCCTTGTGTCCCTTAGTCATGACCTGAAACCATTCTGAGGATTATAGACGAGATGAGCAGCTTCGAGAAGGGATGCGGCTATCGTCCCTCGGCCACATAGACGCCGGAAGAAGTACCAATATTATTGCCTAGGATTCCTGATTCGAATTGACCGCGCTATACGTTATGAAGGCCCTGGGGTACTTTATGGCCCTGCATCGTCGCATGAGAACGTAGTAGAACGTAGGAAAACACGAGGATTTGGGATTGCAGATTGCAAGAGTTGGGAGTTGAAGTTTCTGGCGGTTGGGGTTTCTGAGTTTTTGTGGCGGAGGCTTTTGTCTTTGAGCTTTGTGTTTATACTGGCAGCGGGAAGAGAATCAAGTTCTCAAGAGAGCATGCACTTGCTGATGATTATGATAAGCATGTCAATGAAACACAAGCGCTCACCAAACCCGAAGCATTGCTTGATTCTTTTTCTGCCGCAAATAGGTGTATTGACATTGAAGTCTGGCCCGTTTCTGTTTTTTAAATCACAAACGTCCGTGTACTGCAAGCCAATCCGATAAAGCACCCATCCTGCACTTAGGCCTTTCACTGCGAAACCTCGCCACGAAACCCAGAACACCTGCACCCCTGCAACCCGTCATCCCCAATGAAATGGTAGCCCTGGTGCCTATGCTGCACAGCCTGAGCCTGAAGGTGACAGTGGCCCTCAAACTCACGAAAGCAAGCACTAGCGTCAGCTCAAAGCAAGGCTTCAGACTCCCGAAGCCTCTGAACCCTTAAAGCCCGAAAGCCCTCAACAAAAAAAACCCTTCGCTCTGCAAGCCCCAAGCCCTGCGAGATGCCTCGGGGAGCATTGAACCCATGATGCTTTCCAATTTTGCAAAGACGCCCAGCATGAGGCAACCTGTACTTCATTGATTGAAGTCCTAGGCCCTGAAAGGCCCCAAGCTGTCCCAAAAAACCCAAACCCTTGGACCGAAAGCCCTAAATTCAACCATGCCCTAACCCAAAGCGATCTGAGGCTTCGTGTTGAAGGAGCCCTGGCCAGAGAGATCGTTGTTGGAAGGTGAAGGGAGGTAGGGTTTAGATGTTTGGGGTTTCAGGGTGTGGGGTTTGGAGTTTGGGGCTTCAGGATTGCGGACCTGGGTTCGTGGCTCATGATTATCATGGCAGAGCCATATATCGGGAAAAGCCTGAGACGTAGCAGAGGAGGTAGTGCGACCGTCAAGCGGTGCGGAAACACAACATCTAGATACCTGCAAACCAGGCAGCACTGGCCGAAGGCCGTTGAGACAATGGTAGCTGCAGACTCACCCCTTGCAGCAACAACAACGGCAGCAACAGCATAACACCAACAAGGAGTCGACGACAACAAGAAGAGAGGGCCAGCATCAGCGTCACCAGCACAATCCGTACAACAACCACCAACAACTACGAGTACTGCTACTCCTCTGACGACAACTAGTGCTGTTGCTACTACAACAGGTGCTGATGAAACTGCCGCTACCTTGATACTCTTACTGTGGACCAGAATGTCAGTCGAGAAGAGAGAGAGTTTGGCTTTTCTGCAGGAGAAGCAAAGATGGTAAGCTGGCTTGGGGCAATTGACCACATGGGGAACCACACGAAACGAGGGACCCCAATATGAGCAAATAGTAAGTAGGACCCTTGTTGGCAAGATGGAGCCCCTAATTCAATACCCCCTGTGGCAAGATACTGAAAGTTCGGCCCAGAGGCTCATGCTGGAACATCAATTCCAAATACTACACCTGAAATCCTAAATCCTCAACCCTCAATCCGGGAACCGCGGCCTTGACATTTTTCCTGTGTCACCTTTCCTTAATCGAGGAGAGCAGCTATCTCCGCAAAAGCTGGAGCTTCATAGTGGCCTTACTGCTGCTGTACACAGGCTTGGGTTTCGGGTTTTTACGGGTTTTCCACTGGTCCGAACCCTGCAGCCCGCTCCAGACGCGAACAAGGAACCTCGACTCAGAGCCTCATGAAGCCCAAGCCGCCGACCTTCAAAAGCCTTCCGAGACGATGCCGAATTCTCACCCGGAGTCTACTTGTGAACTTCAGTTTCCTTCCAAGCCAGAATTCCATATTGTGCCGGCAAAGTGGGTTTTCAAACTGCGCACCAGCCGATCAGCCGGTCAGCCGATCGGCTGGCCGGGTTTCGGGTTTAGGGTTTAGGGGTTTGAGGGTTTGAGTTTTGGGGGTTTTGGAGTTTAGGGTTTAGGGTTCATGGGTTCAGGGGTTTGAGGTTTTGGATTAAGGGTTTGGGGGTTATGGGGTTTAGGGGTTCGGGTTTGTGGGTTTCGGGGTTTAAGGTTTAGGGTTTAGGGTTTAAGCGTTTAGGGGTTTAGGTGTTTGGGGGTTCAGGGGTTTAAGGGTTTAGGGGTTTAGGTGTTTGGGGGTTTAGGGGTTTAAGGGTTTAGGGGTTTAGGTGTTTGGGGGTTTAGGGGTTTGAGGGTTTAGGGCTGATCGGCTGATCGTTTGATGCGCGGTACATCACAGCTTGTTCCGCCCAAAAGCTAGACACCCGCAAGCCCCAAACCTGGAATCCTGGACTGTCCTAGACTCCCCTAAACTTCGGGTTTTGGCGAGTTTAGGTCGAAACGTTCCCGCTTCTGCTCCTCCCGCGCAGGCACTGTATTTCCCTACAAGCTGGCTTTTATAGAGTTTTACATCGGCGGCTTGGCATCTCTATCGGTCTGGAAGTGGGGGTGGAGGTTCAGTGACCAATCAGGGCTCCCACACCCCAAGCCTTGAACGCTGAAGCCCCAAATCCTAAGCCCTGCAGCCCAAAGCCTCGAAAGGTCACCTGAACTAAGCCTTGAACCCAAATAGGGGAACCTAATGTAGTACCCGCAATAGCAACATCCCTCTTACAAGGACCCCCAAAAAAGAGACCCCTAATTTTCGGAAACTCCCAAATGCCAAAACCCTAAATCTTTGAAACCTCAGTCCCAGAGCCAACTTTGCACCGCAGAGCCAAGGCTTGCAGCCGGGTTGAGCACGTGCGAGAGATCTTTTTTGCTGTCATGTACAATGATGCTTTAAGGTAGTATGCAATAGCGTACCTGATGTACGATAGTCTACCATATCATTCGGTACCCCATTATATATCATACTGTATCATACTTGACAAAACCATATTACAATGGAAATACAATGCCGTACTATACTCTTTTTCATGATGCACTATAATATACTTAAATATCCTATCCCCGATCGCCGTCCAGCTGTCGCATGCAAGTTTGAGGCTTGAAATGTCCTTTGGAACTTGCTGCAAGGCAAGAAAGTCTATGCGAATTCACCGTTCGTATTTTGTTGCTGGGTCTGTCTTCAGCAAGCCCACCCCCATCATGCTGTGGGGTAAACTCATCGAATGCAGATATTTCGGCACTTGTGGCTATGCTGCAGGTGCACAGTACAGAGAGACCCATCTCTCCTTCGACGCGGTTTAGGGTTTAGGGTTTCATCGGGCTGCAGCCCGGAATCTGAAAAAGCTGGAAGCTAAAAGCGGCCCCCCAGCCTGAAACCCCAGAGCCTATGCTTTGAGACCAAAGTCAACTTAAGGTCAGCGGCATCAAAGGCGCTTGGGACCCGTGTGTAAGTGTTGGATGGGCAAGACCTAGGAGGCGAAAGCAAAACATACCACTCCCATCCACCTTAACGGAGCCCTGAAGGCATGAAACTTAAGCCGTCAACCCAGAGTCGCGTCACCTTGTGCGTGCCCAGGGGCGAGTGAAGAGTTCGAAAAGTCGACCGAGAGAGCCACTCCGCCAGCAGACAAAGGGCTTACTTAGGGTTCAGCGTAGATTTGTGGGTTTGGGTGAGGGTGGAGAGTTCGGGAACCTCCACCTGTGTTGCGGGCTACTGGGTGGTGATGTACAGGCTTTCGGGATTCGGTTCTGGACGGAGTACACCGTTTTCCCCCAGCTTTGACTCCCAATCACCAAAAGATCCTATGGCCGACCTATACCAGTACTCAGAACTCCTCATCAAGGTTTTTTGTTGTAACGTTCCTGCTATGAGGCCGCAGGACTTTCACTGTGCAAGGTTTGCGGAGTCCCAGGAACCGGCGGTAGAAAGCAGAGCAGATGGCCGAATCCCAAGACGTAGAGTGCGGTTGAAGACCAAAGGCTTTGCCGATGTCTAGCGAGCCTCAGACTCACGCTCTTCCCAAACCTTCGCCTTCAGTACGTTGTCCTTTGCCGGAACGGGCACAAGCTATAAGGCTTTTGGAGTTCAAGGCTTCTGTCGTGTTTAGGATGGAGAGAAAGGAAGCCTACCAACTCCGTTGCGTTACCCAAAGCACCACACCTTGAGCCCCATTGTGCCAGGTGCTTAGCTGTGCTAAATGCCCAAACCGCTGAAATCTGAATCCTGAAGCCCTGACCCCTTCAGCCCCAAAATTTGAACCGCAGACCCTGCAACTTATCATCCTTCATCACCTTTTCAGCCCAAAAATGATCCTTTTTTCGCAGTACCTATCCGAAAGCCCTACCTAGACCGTACAGCTTTTCGAAGCCCTTCAAACGGCGCCTTTTTATCCCTTGCACAGCCCCAAGGATCCTGGAAAAGCCTGGACCCCCTAAACAACAAATCATAAAACCGTAAAGGCCCTAAACCCCAAAGCTTCGTTGCAGTACCTTGCCAGGCCTGGATGCCAGTCGAGCTGACGGTGGACATTCTCTTTTGGATCGATCTGCTGGAGCCCGAGTTCTTGTTTTGGAGTCTACAGTGGGGTTTAGGGTTTAGGGGGTTCCCCTTTGGGGTTTAGGGGTTGAGCGGCTGGACTCTTGTGTTTCGGATGTAAAGTTGGGGATACTGGAATTGGGAGGTTTGGGTTTGAGGTTCAAGTTCAAGGGAAAGGCTGCGCGTTGGCAAATATTCGTCCTGGCATGTACATCAATGTAGCAGCATTACTTCGGATCCCCACTTGGCGACATTTCCAGATGGTCAGGCGAAGCACGAACGTCTGATAGTCTAGCGAATGTAACGACACCCATACTGAGCAAGTGTTAAGCTCCAGCACACTACTCTGCGTAGTTTGCGCCCGGAGTTCCGAACTGTGGGACCTAAATCCCAGCCTTGGTTACCCGAAGCCATGCAACCAGGTTCCTTATCTTCCTCTTCAGCTACAAGGACCATGAATGGGGAGCACTGTCTGTTGCAGGGGTTTAGGGGGTTTCAGGACTGGGTGAATTGAGTTCAGGAGCTCAGCTTGTTGGATTTAGGCTTTTTCAGGCTCAAGGCCTAGAGTTCAGGAGTCTAAGTCAAAAGGTTTAGATCCTGTCGGTTTCGGACTGCAGGTTAATGTTCGGTGCCAGGTCTAGGTTTGCGGCTGCAAGCCACTCCGACCCTCCTGAGCCAAGGATTCCCATGCCAGATTTGAGGTTTGGGGTTTATCAAGGGACCTCTCTCTCTCTCTCTCTCTCTACTTTGAGAAACTTGCCTCTGGTTGTCTGTAGATGCGACAAAGCCCCACAGCCGATCGTCAACAGGACGAGAACCTGCAAGTTGAGGCTGGGCCTCGGGATGTCTTTGTCACCTTTGTTTTTTTGTGTTATCACGGGTTTCTTTGCCGGAGTTTCGAGCGGACCCACACGGGATTTTGGGGCGGTTTAGGACTGGTTTAGGAGATATTTCGGGCCTTCGGGGCCTAGGTGTTTCCAGCTTTAGCTTCGAGTGCTTCTGGCAAACCCTCGTGCGAAGATACCATTGAGGTTGCCTGTGGCTTGAGGAACAGCCTAGGGCAAGTGCGCACTTCCGCGTTATAAACCGTGCATCCGCTCCCCCGTATACAACCTGTCCAGTAGAAGCCTATCGTACACTCAAGGCAAAACGTGACACGATTTCGGCCCGTCGAGACCCCGGGAAAGCAAAATGAAGTCCGCCTCAGACGGAGTGAGTAAGAATGGTCGCAGGCGAGGGTTGATTGCAAAGTTTGAAGTCAGTGCTTGCTTAGCCCTGCCACCTGCACATGCAGAACGGAGTGTGGCTGGGAAGCGGCGTTTTTACCCGATCCCGCAACATCCCCTGCGCGGTGTTTGGCTGCTGTTGAATGCCGGCGAGGTCGCACTAAGCACAACAATGCCCCAAGCAAGGTACCCTCGTCACAGCTCGCACTTCAATTCGTGCTGCCACGCTTTGACCCCTTCTTCGACAGTATCCTCTCCGACAGAGCGGAAAACGGCAGCTGCCGACACCAATCGGTCTCAGCTGAGGCTTGCTTAAAAGCTACCCGCAGTACAGTCCCTTGCGGCCCCCGGGCCCCGTCAATTCTCCTCAGTAGGTCTGAAACAGAGCACTTGGGGGCAGGTCTGCGACTTGAAGGCCATCGGTTGCCGATATCTGAAGGGTGCCTGGCCCAGTACGCAGGGCCTTGGGGTTCGGTTTCCTCGATCATGTTTTTGGGCTACTGTACTACTTTAGGGTGTTTTGGGGTTCCGTCTCAACTGGACTGAGCGGCCTAAGTGCTTAAAGCGGTTGGAAGCAGGGCTGCGAGGGTCTTTGAGTTTGGTGTTTTTTTGGGGGCTTGGAGTCATCCTGGGGTCTCTATTCCGGGCCTGACACTTTTGGGGTTCGGGGGTTCAAGTCAGGAGTTCTTGAGGTGCAGAGGTGTGTCTAGGGGTTGCAGGTTAGGGGCTGATTACGAAAGGAGTTCTAGAGAAGTTGCTGACGAGACAGCTTGCGAAACTGAGTCTCTCAAGCTAGTTGCCGGAGCCTCTCTGATCAAGTCAGTCCCGCACCCGATCCAAACAAAGCTTTCCAAAATGCCACGAAGCAGAGTGCAGTTGAACTGGGAGCATCAATCCAGAGCCGGTTCTGGGGTTCCCTCCATGCAGTGGCTTCAACGCACAACTGTGGTGGTCTATTCTGGAGGTGTTAGCTTCGTAAGCCCGAGCAGAGCCCCGATAACACACGCCACACACGCGAAGAGTTGAAAGGAGTACTGTGCCTTAGGTTAAGACCTCACGGCTTCACACCTGAACCTGAAGCCTCGCTAGGCTTCTTCTTCGTGAACTTCTTGGCCTGTGTTCCGCCATCTTGGCAAGCGGCCCAGACCCAGAGACTCCAACCTGTGCAGTGAAACAGGGCTTTAGGGCTTAGGGTGTGCATCGTTCGTCTGATGGCCTGCTGATTGATGTATCTTCTGTTGAAGCTTGTAGGGTTGGGCAAGTTCCCAGAGAGTTCTAAAGCCTATTCATCAGGTGACCGCCTATCAAAAACCCATGAGAACAATTTGACAATGCCTGTCCAAAGCCCCGGAACCTAGTTAAGTGTTTGGCACTCTGCTTGAATTTGTGGTTGGAGGTTTGGTGCTCTTGCCCTTCTTTGCGTTCGAGGGGTTTGGGGCTTGGGGAGGCTTCACTTTTTTTGCTCTCAAGCTTTTTTCTGTTCTTTTTTCGGGCTTTGTTGCTCTGCACGGCTTTGGGGCCGTGTTTGAGCAAGTCGGCAGCCTTGCAAGAACGCCTTGAGCCTGCGGTATCGGCAACAAACATTCACGCTCCTGAACCCGAGCCCTTATGCACCCTCACAACCGACTAAACCCCTGCTGCCACACAAGAAATCCAGAGCCCTGGCGCTGTTTGTGCACGACCGAGGTTTAGCGCTGCTTGGCCGCGATGTGAGACCCCGACGGCTTAGTCTCTCCGTTGGTTTGTTGGTTTACTACCTTTACGATTTAAAGGTTTAGGGTTTTCTTCTTGTCAAGGGTTCATGGTCCAAGGCTAGGAATTACGGTTGGCGGTTCCCCTATGAATCCCGGAGGTCACCGAACTCCTGCACCTTGCAAGGTTCTCTTTAGCGGCGGCGGTGAGGATTCCTCCTCGTCTCTGAACAAGAGCCCGGCTCCTGGTAGGGTTTCGCCAACCCGCTGTCCTGAACCCTGAAGAAGAGGAAAATAAAGTAAACTCCTAAACGCGATGCCCTGAACCCGAAACCTCAAACCCAGCATAAACTAATGCGGGCGGCTGAACAAACTAAGGCTATACCGCATTATACACAAAACCCCTGGTCTAGTTTTCAAAGGCCTTCATGTTAGCCTCGGAACTCAAGCGAGGTTTGGACTTCGGGTCTTGCTGCATTAGATGAGAGTTTGTCATCAGTTTAGGGCTTAGGAGTTATGTAGAGTTATAGGAGTGCCTATACAACCGCTGGTTCGTGCAGACTTGAATGCTAGTCATCAGACCCGGGCGGGGTTGGTTTGGGGTTTAGGGTTTAGGGCTTAGGATGCGCAGACCTATAGAGTTGAATGCTGGTAGAAGATGCCTAGACAAACCCCGAAAGACCCGAAACTCGGATCCTGCTCATTTATGAGGCCCTTAAAGGTGAATCCTGGATTTGTTGGGGTTTTCATTTGGTTTCTGTTTTCGTTGAGGGTTCGGTTCGAGTCTCATGGGCCGAAAGAGCCCAAGCCAAGTTCCTAAAACCCTAAACCTTAGGTCCCAAGCCCGAACCCTGAGCCACAAGCCCTAAATGCAAAGCCCTAAACCATGCGCCCTATCCCTAAAACCCCAAACCTACCCATTCCTAAAACCCCAAGCTAAGCCCCAAAACCCGAAACCCCAGTCTCTAAACCCTAAACCCCTAAAGCCCTTAACTCTACTGTGCCGTTGGCAGGCCTGCGGCTTTCCCGGCTGCACCGCACCAGCCGACTGGCAAGGTGCAGAGCTTCAGGGCTTGGGACTTTGGGTGTGTTTTTTTTTTTTTTTTTTTGGGGGGGGGTGGTTAAGGGTTTTAGGGGGTTTTGGGGTTTAGTTGCTTAGGGGTTTAGCTTAGGGGTTTAGTGGTTTAGTGGTCTTGGGCTTTAATTAGGTTTTAGGGTTTAGGGGTCGGAAGAATTGCTAGTTACATTCACAGGAATCTTTTGCTGTTTATGCTGGAGCATAACCCGAACCCCATTCTAATCATAAAGACCGCCATTTAAGTTTTTCCGGTTCTGCTCGCCGTCACCCTCCCACTCTTGAGATTGTTGCTCCCAGGTCATTGTAGTTCCAGGTAAGGTAGGTTTCCAAGAAGCTCCAGACTGTAAACCTCAAGCCCAAAATCGAAGCCTTCAACTCTACAGCTGCACCGCATACCGAGGTCACTGTGAGCCTGGAAGCTGCTGTGCATGCCTCCACGATATCTCAAAGTCAGGGTTAGGGTTGAGGGGTCTGGGGGTTTAGGGTTCGGAAGTCTGAACCTTTGGTTGAGGCCCCTTTCTCGGTGATCCTTTAACCGCGCAAGCCTTGTACAGGCCCTAGGCGCTCGAACGCCCAGAAAGTCCTGAACCCATAAAGGGGCCCGAGTATGTAGAATGGGGAGTGGGGGTATGTATGTCGTATGAGTATAGCAAGGCCAAGGAATCGCCTTCCCAACTATTTGCGCTTCTGCATCAAGCGCTAAACTCTCAACCCATGCTCCAATTTTAAACCCTTTGTGACAGAAGCACCGGTAGAGAGCCCTTAAATCCCATTCGGAGGCTGGCGCGGCTGGGACGGCTCGCGAAGCTCGCGCCTTTCCTCCACGAGAGCGCGACGTGGAAGTATATCCAGGCCAGGCTTCTCGCGACTTGGGTCCGGTCTGCTGTTCTGGCTTTGGGGTTCTCAGGTTCTCTGGAGCTCAGAGCTTTAGAGTCTGGCGAGTCTGGAATGATTTGGGGCTGAGCCGGTGTTTCTAGAACTTCGGGGCGCTGCAAGGTCTCGGGGATTATTTTTTTCGGCCTGGATGCCCTCAGAGAGAACAGACACCCGCCTGCAGGCATTCCGAGGCGTTCGTATGCGGGGACCTCGGCAGTCGTGCGAGAGACTTACACTGCTGCAGCCACCGTGCAAACAATAGCTCCTGCAATGGCGACTCAGTCGCCATACTCGTAGCCGCATCCCATCGCTTGCCGTCAATACAAGACCAGTCTTGATCGAAGCCCTTGTACCGAGGATGAACCTCACCGTCGGCCTGATGTGGGTGGTGCACTTGATGGCATGCGGATGGCGGGACGCCCAGCCCAGGAGGGCTTCGACCTGCGATTGTCAGACTGCGGGGGTTCGGGCAGCCGGGTCCTAGGTCAAGGAAATCCCAAGGTTTGGGATGCGAGGGAGCCTTTATAGGTGTTTCTGGGTTTATCTTAGATCTTCGGGAGCTGACAGGGTTTGCACTCGAAAGGCTTAGGGTAGCAGAAGGGAGTGCTGTCATGGTTTTGGGGTTCGGGGTTTTCGTCGTTGTCTAGGCTGCCGGCTGCCTTTGCAGTTGAGCTTAAGTTTCGGGATGTGGTACTGTATTGCGGTTGGAGCTTATAGAGTGCTACATAGAGTGCTTCGAAGCAACACGAGCATATCTCGTGGAGGGTCGTGTGGGGGCTTCGGCCGGGGCCGAGGCGAACTAGCGTTTCGGGCTCCCAACCGTCCACGACAAGAACTTGGCCCCTTCAAAGATTCATGGAGACCATGGTAGAGCTGACGAAACGCCTCAAGGTATCTCTGCGCTGCGCTGCACGAAGAGCCGAACGCAGGGGCCCTTGCAGCTCACATGCGTGCTCGCGTTTAGTTTAAGTGGGGGTAAAAATTTAGGGTTTAGGGTTTTAGGGCTTCGAGATTTAGGGTTTAGGGCCTTACAGATGGTAGGATTTGGTTGAACTTTTCGCAAGCACTTGTTGGCTGCACTAATGTTTCGGACAGGCAGGAAGGGGGGGGGGGGTCACTCACAACAGGGTTCAGAGCCTTTCGGGAAGCCAGGATTTGTAGCAAGAGGGCCTTGGCTACAATGGCCACAACGCCAAGCCTCCCATATCAAGTTTCTTAAGCTCGGCCTGCAACTATACACTCTTCAGCCTAAATACACGTCCTCAGCCTGGATCTCCAAACCGCCGGAGCCCCAAACTCCACCCCGAGTGGCCATAGAGGGATTTGTTGCGGGGCTCAGTTGTTATCTGTTACGGATGAAGTTGTAGCAGGTAAGTTCCTCAATAGATCGGTAGTATAAGTAATAGAGTGGTAGTATAAGTTAACCCATAATCTGTGCTGATTGTTCGGGCCTCTATTACTTCACACCAGTGGTGATTCTCGATCCGAAGCCGAAAGGCTGGAAGAGCGTGCTAGGGTTTGGGGTTTGGGGGCTGAGAGTGTTTTCGTTGCCGCCAGTACAACCATCACCACCCTAGCCTTGGTCATGACTGTAACGGCAATGCGTGATTGTAGGAGCCATTTGAATTGGCCCTGTTGTCGGCAAGATAGTCAGCTGGCTGGCTGGTTTGCTACACCTGGCGGTAGCAATAGCGATGACAAGCTACTTCGACTAATGACACCAGTAGAGTCCGTCGCAGCCACCTGTCTACCGTCTTGGTAGTTGCAACTGCAGTTCTTGCTTCTGCTGCTGCTGCTGTTGGAGTTGTTGCTGTTGGCCGCGATGATCACGAGCTGTGTCTGTTGCTTTGAGGACACGTGGGTCGCCCGCCGTTCCATCAACAACGACGGGGATGTTTTGATGGGGCAGGACTGCTGCTGGCTTTTCTGCAAAGTTCCAGCGTTTTTGAAAACCGCAGAAGTGATCCGATCGATTCCCCTATGTCTTTCCAAGGGTGCTCCTTGACACTACACAGCGTGGGAGAGGTTGCTCCGCGAGTTTTTCACTGCCAGAAGCACCACTTGTTGGAGTTCAGCGTGGGGTTCCTGAGTTTGTGGTGGCATGGTTCAGGGGTGGGCGGGTCACAGGTCGTGTTTCCACCATCATTAGCCCTAGACGGTCGTCCAGCGAAGTCACGGTTCTCGTCTGATCCTTCGGGCTCTTAGCTGAGGCTTCAGGGTTTTAGGTTAGGGTCCACAAACCTCAACCCCTAAAGCCCCTGCTGAAGGTTTTGATGTAAACAATCGGCAGTAGTCGCTGAAGGCAGTTGCGGCTGATGCTCATGATGCTCGACCATCCGGTGGATTCTGCTAGCTGCTGATTCCTGTGATGCGCACCAGCTGAGAGCAATCGCTAGGGACAATCGCAGCTGATGCTCATGATGCTCGCCCATCCGGTGGATTCTGCAACTAGCTGCTGATGCCTGTGATGCGCACCAGCTGAGAGCAAACGCTAGGGACAATCGCAGTTGATGCTCATGATGCTCGCCCATCCGGTGGATTCTGCAACTGGCTGCTGATACCTGGGATGTGCACCAGCCGAGAGCCAAACGCTAGGGACAATCGCAGCTGATGCTCATGATGCTTGCCCATCCGGTGGATTCTGCAACTAGCTGCTCATTCCTGTGATGTGCATTAGCTGAAAGCAATCACTAGGGACATTCGCAGCTGATGCCCATGATGCTCGCCCATCCGGAGGATTCTGCAACTAGCTGCTGATTCCTGTGATGCGCACCAGCTGAGAGCAATCGCTAGGGACAATCGCAGCTGATGCTCATGATGCTCGCATCGCCCATCCGGTGGATTCTGTAACTAGCTGCTGATTCCTGGGATGTGCACCAGCTGAGAGCAATCACTAGGAACAATCGCAGCTGATGCTCATGATGCTCGCTCATTTGGTGGATTCTGCAAATACCTGCTGATTCATGTGACGCGAACCAGCTGAGAGCAATCACTAGGGACAATCGCAGCTGATGCTCATGATGCTCGCCCATCCGGTGGATTCTGCAACTAGCTGCTGATTCCTGTGATGCGCACCAGCTGAGAGCAATCACCAGGGACAATCGCAGCTGATGCTCATGATGCTCGCCCATCCGGAGGATTCTGCAACTAGCTGCTGATTCCTGTGATGCGCACCAGCTGAGAGCAATCGCTGGGGACAATCGCAGCTGATGCTCATGATGCTTGCCCATCCGGTGGATTCTGCAACTAGCTGCTCATTCCTGTGATGTGCATTAGCTGAAAGCAATCACTAGGGACATTCGCAGCTGATGCCCATGATGCTCGCCCATCCGGAGGATTCTGCAACTAGCTGCTGATTCCTGTGACGGGCACCAGCTGTGAGCAATCGCTAGGGACAATCGCAGCTGATGCTAATGATGCTCCCCAGCCGGTGGGTTCTGCAACTAGCCGCTGATTCCTGTGATGCGCACCAGCTGAGAGCAAACGCTAGGGACAATCGCAGCTGATGCTCATGATGCTCGCCCATCCAGTGGATTCTGCAACTAACTGCTGATGCCTGTGATGCGCACCAGCTGAGAGCAAACGCTAGGGACAATCGCAGCTGATGCTCATGATGCTCGACCATCGGGTGGATTCTGCAACTAGCTGCTGATTCCTGTGATGGCACCAGCTGAGAGCAATCGCTAGGGACAATCGCAGCTGATGCTCACATGATGCTCGCCCATCCGGTGGATTCTGCAACTGGCTGCTGATACCTGTGATGCGCACCAGCCGAGAGCCAATCGCCAGGGACAATCGCAGCTGATGCTCATGATGCTCGCCCATCCAGTGGATTCTGCAACTAGCTGCTGATGCCTGTGATGCGCACCAGCTGAGAGCAAACGCTAGGGACAATCGCAGCTGATGCTCATGATGCTCGACCATCCGGTGGATTCTGCAACTAGCTGCTGATTCCTGTGATGGGCACCAGCTGTGAGCAATCGCTAGGGACAATCGCAGCTGATGCTCATGATGCTCGCCCATCCGGTGGATTCTGCAACTAGCCGCTGATGCCTGTGATGCGCACCAGCTGAGAGCAAACGCTACGGACAATCGCAGCTGATGCTCATGATGCTCGCCTATCCGGTGGATTCTGCAACTGGCTGCTGATACCTGTGATGCGCACCAGCCGAGAGCCAAACGCTAGGGACAATCGCAGCTGATGCTCATGATGCTTGCCCATCCGGTGGATTCTGCAAGTAGCTGCTGATTCCTGTGATGTGCATTAGCTGAAAGCAATCACTAGGGACATTCGCAGCTGATGCCCATGATGCTCGCCCATCCGGAGGATTCTGCATCTAGCTGCTGATGCCTGTGATGCGCACCAGCTGAGAGCAAACGCTAGGGACAATCGCAGCTGATGCTCATGATGCTCGCCCATCAGGTGGATTCTGCAACTGGCTGCTGATACCTGTGATGCGCACCAGCCGAGAGCCAAACGCTAGGGACAATCGCAGCTGATGCTCATGATGCGCGCCCATCCGGTGGATGTTGCAACTAGCTGCTGATTCCTGTGATGCGCGCCAGCTGCGAGCAATCGCCAGGGACATTCGCAGCTGATGCTGATGATGCTCCTCAGCCGGTGGGTTCTGCAACTAGCCGCTGATTCCTGTGATGCGCACGAGCTGAGAGCAATCGCTAGGGACAATCGCAGCTGATGCTCATGATGCTCGCATCGCCCATCCGGTGGCTTCTGCAATTATCTGCTGATTCCTGTGATGCGCACCAGCTGAGAGCAATCGCTGGGGACAATCGCAGCTGACGCTGATGATGCTCGCCCATCCGGTCGATTCTGCAACTAGCTGCTGCTTCCTGTGATGCGCAACAGCTGAGAGCAATCGCTAGAGAGAATGGCAACTGATGCTCGCCCATCCGGTGGATTCTGCAACTAGCTGCTGATTCCTGTGATGCGCACCAGCTGAGAGCAATCGCTAGGGACAATCGCAGCTGATGCTCATGATGCTTGCCCATCCGGTGGATTCTGCAACTAGCTGCTCATTCCTGTGATGTGCATTAGCTGAAAGCAATCGCTAGGGACAATCGCAGCTGATGCTCATGATGCTCGCCCATCCGGTGGCTTCTGCAATTAGCTGCTGATTCCTGCAACGCGCACCAGCTGAAAGCAATTGCTAGGCAGAGCTCTTGATTCTGTGATGCTCACTAGCTGAGAGCAATCGCAGCTGATGCTCATGATGCTCGCCCATCCGGTGGATTCTGCAAGTACCTGCTGATGCATGTAAAGTGCACCATCTGAGAGCAATCGCTAGGGACAATGGCAGCTGATGCTCATGATGCTCGCCCATTCGGTCGACAAGGCAACTAGCTGCTGATTGCTGTGATGCGCACCAGCTGGAAGCAATCGCCAGGGACAATCGCAGCTGATGCTCATGATGCTCGCCCATCCGGTGGATTCTGCAACCAACTGCTGCTTCCTGTGATGCGCACCAGCTGAGAGCAACCACTAGGGACAATCGCAGCTGATGCTCATGATGCTCGACCATCCGGTGGATTCTGCAACTAGCTGCTGATTCCTGTGATGGGCACCAGCTGTGAGCAATCGCTAGGGACAATCGCAGCTGATGCTCATGATGCTCGCCCATCCGGTGGATTCTGCAACTAGCCGCTGATGCCTGTGATGCGCACCAGCTGAGAGCAAACGCTACGGACAATCGCAGCTGATGCTCATGATGCTCGCCTATCCGGTGGATTCTGCAACTGGCTGCTGATACCTGTGATGCGCACCAGCCGAGAGCCAAACGCTAGGGACAATCGCAGCTGATGCTCATGATGCTTGCCCATCCGGTGGATTCTGCAAGTAGCTGCTGATTCCTGTGATGTGCATTAGCTGAAAGCAATCACTAGGGACATTCGCAGCTGATGCCCATGATGCTCGCCCATCCGGAGGATTCTGCATCTAGCTGCTGATGCCTGTGATGCGCACCAGCTGAGAGCAAACGCTAGGGACAATCGCAGCTGATGCTCATGATGCTCGCCCATCAGGTGGATTCTGCAACTGGCTGCTGATACCTGTGATGCGCACCAGCCGAGAGCCAAACGCTAGGGACAATCGCAGCTGATGCTCATGATGCGCGCCCATCCGGTGGATGTTGCAACTAGCTGCTGATTCCTGTGATGCGCGCCAGCTGCGAGCAATCGCCAGGGACAATCGCAGCTGATGCTGATGATGCTCCCCAGCCGGTGGGTTCTGCAACTAGCCGCTGATTCCTGTGATGCGCACGAGCTGAGAGCAATCGCTAGGGACAATCGCAGCTGATGCTCCACATGATGCTCGCATCGCCCATCCGGTGGCTTCTGCAATTATCTGCTGATTCCTGTGATGCGCACCAGCTGAGAGCAATCGCTAGGGACAATCGCAGCTGACGCTGATGATGCTCGCCCATCCGGTCGATTCTGCAACTAGCTGCTGCTTCCTGTGATGCGCAACAGCTGAGAGCAATCGCTAGAGAGAATGGCAACTGATGCTCGCCCATCCGGTGGATTCTGCAACTAGCTGCTGATTCCTGTAATGCACGCCAGCTGAGAGCAATCGCTAGGGACAATCGCAGCTGATGCTCATGATGCTCGCCCATCCGGTGGATTCTGCAACTAGCTGCTGATGCCTGTGATGCGCACCAGCTGAGAGCAATCGCTAGGGACAATCGCAGCTGATGCTCGCCCATCCGGTGGCTTCTGCAATTAGCTGCTGATTCCTGCAACGCGCACCAGCTGAAAGCAATTGCTAGGCAGAGCTCTTGATTCTGTGATGCTCACTAGCTGAGAGCAATCGCAGCTGATGCTCATGATGCTCGCCCATCCGGTGGATTCTGCAAGTACCTGCTGATGCATGTAAAGTGCACCATCTGAGAGCAATCGCTAGGGACAATGGCAGCTGATGCTCATGATGCTCGCCCATTCGGTCGACAAGGCAACTAGCTGCTGATTGCTGTGATGCGCACCAGCTGGAAGCAATCGCTAGGGGCAATCGCAGCTGATGCTCATGATGCTCGCCCATCCGGTGGATTCTGCAACCAGCTGCTGCTTCCTGTGATGCGCAACAGCTGAGAGCAACCACTAGGGACAATCGCAGCTGATGCTCATGATGCTCGTACATCCGGTGGATTCTGCAACTAGCTGCTGATTCATGTGACGTGCACCAGCTGAGAGCAACCGCTAGGGACAGTCGCAGCTGATGTTCATGATGCTCGCCCATCCGGTGGATTCTGCAACCAGCTGCTGCTTCCTGTGATGCGCAACAGCTGAGAGCAACCACTAGGGACAATCGCAGCTGATGCTCATGATGCTCGTACATCCGGTGTATTCTGCAACTAGCTGCTGATTCATGTGACGTGCACCAGCTGAGAGCAACCGCTAGGGACAGTCGCAGCTGATGTTCATGATGCTCGCCCATCCGGTGGATTCTGCAACCAGCTGCTGATTCCTGTGATGCACACCAGCTGAGAGCAATCGCTAGGGACAATCGCAGCTGATGTTCATGATGCTCGACCATTCGGTCGAGGGACTCTGGGCACCTCCGCACCCCTATCGAAACCAAACCCGATTCAACAGTATCTATTGGGATGCGGCAGCTTCCTCGTTATGGTCGCGACTATTCATACTACCAGTATGTATTTTGTTGCTACGTTTATCACTCGTATTGCAAACGTCGCGCGATCACCTCGTTGTTACTTTTGGTTTTTTCTTTCAAATCCAAATCGCAGATTGGCTAGGCTCGCGCCTTGAGAGGCCTCAATGCACTTTTGCATCTCTATACGAAGAGCCCGCTCGAATCCTTCACGGGACAACTCTGGTCCCTAAAACCCTGAACAGGATCCTTCGGAGCAATGGGCAGCTTGGGTGCATTTCAGCCCACGATTCAGCCCGGACTCTGCAGACAAATCCTGCAAAACTGGTTTCACCAGGGTTGCCGCTTTCGCGCCTAAGATTCCCGAGAACTTGGAGCCTGTGTTGTCCAAAAAGCAGCATTCGTCGTGGGGAGAAGGTCGTGGCTTGTTTCGAGGCAGCTTCGGGGTTCGGGATGGGTGCACAGTGCAAGAGGGTCTAGCAAGCGCTGAACACCGAAGTAGCGTACATCTTTGACTCAGAATACAAGCCCATGCCTCACTGAAGCCCAAACCCTAACACTTAAACTCGAAATCCTAAACCCCTAGAAGCCGAGGTGCATGCGCTCTACTTTGCTGGGGCCCCGGTGAAAACACGACCACGGCGAAGAGTTGGGGGCTTCAGGGTCCCTTTCAGGGAGTTAGGGCATTATGCGACGGCATGTTGTAGTATATTATATATATAGAGTATACTCTGAGATGTTATGACTTACAATTTGCTATAGTATTTGATAAAGTCTACTGCAATGTACTACGAAGATGCCTCTGACCCGAAGCTCAGCGCCTTTAGGCTGGCAGTCTAACGATGAGGCAGATTAGAACCGTCGGGTAAACCAAGACGGTAGTCTAGCAGTTCGATATTAGTCGGTCGTGGTAGAATGGCAAGCAGCTGAACCGCCCTACTAAAGGCACTAGCATCTCTAGCAGGGAGCTCGTCGCATCTGCTGATAACATTGACACAAGTCAGACTTGGCAAGTTTCAATAGTGCAGCAGTGACATACGTAGCAAGCCATTTTCTGGCTGTCTCAGTTTCATACAGTACTTTGAATAGAAAGATTTGCAACATATGACTTTTCAAGCATTCGGATTGGGCCTGTACGCGCCGTTTAGACACCATCTGGCTTTGCCCTCAAACTCTATCCGCCCACAGCCCTGACTCTAGGCGTCCTCGAGACACCTAAATGTCCGAATTCTGGCAAATCCCGAAACTTCAAGTCCTCAGCTTGAAACTTTCACCAGATCCTGACTATCTTCACCACGGTCGGCTTCGGGGATATGTCTGCCTTCACCACGGCAGAGACACTCTACGTCGACTGGGCGATGCACCTTGGAATGGCAGCTAAAGTGCTCACCATTGTGCGTTCTTTGGGGGCAGAGATACTGCCTCCAGACCATGCGACATGTCTTTGTTCCAGCCCCCGAAGCAAGTGCACGAAGATGGCAATGATGGGAGTTTTGACTTTGTTTGAGAGTGGGGCTGGCAGGCGAAGCCTTCTCAATAGAGATGCTGCGCACATTCCCTTGTCACGGACCGTTTTGCATCGACATTAGGCCTTGGACTGGAAACGCATCAGACGGTTCCTGCTATTCTTGCTTGCTCCTTCCACAGCTGTTACTCCTGCCTACGACGAACCACCACCCCCCCGCAACCACAACTTCATCTGCCACTGCCACTACCACGCTCCTCCTCCGCCTCCTCCACCTGCTGCTATTGCTACTGCTACAATGCTACTACGATTACTGCTACTGCTAGTACTACTTTTATTAGTAGTATTGCTCTCATACTAGTATCAGAACTAGTGCCAGTACTAGTACTCGTACTCGTAGTACTACTACTCCCACTACTGCTACTTACTACTCCTACTTCTACCTCTACCGCCCTCTACGTCTCCATCCGCTCTACCCAATCTGGAGAATTGTAGTTTGCTCCACTCAGTTTCGCTTACCGCCAAGGATTGTCGGAACAGCTCTGGGCTCAGTTTTTTCTCTCCAAGGGTGAACCCTCGCTGGAGGGTTAATTAAAACCCTGAGTTCAGAATCCTGTTGAGCTCTCACAAGCCTCATGAACAACCCGGAACCCCTTCGCCTACCCTCGAACAATGAAAATTTGCAAAGGAACTCCGAGAACATTCCTAGGCTTGGGGCAACGAATGCTGCTGGAGCCTAGAGCCTCAAAGCTCAGAAAGCTGCCCGCCCCAGCTTAAACCAGGAACATCAAAACCACAAACCCTGAACTGCAAGTTTAGGATTTCCAAGCCGGGACCCCGAAAATGTCGGGGCTTGGCGTTCTAGGACGTAGAGCCGTGAGGTCTCAGGCTCCAAAGTTTCCAAAGTGTGGGGCTTTGGGATGCAGGGCTTTGGGGGAAGGTCTTGTTGCAGGGCATAGTAGGGCCAATGAAAAATGTGATTAAAACTTCTATCGCTATTGAGGTGTAGTTCCAGTCAGGGTTCACGGTCCTTCCTCTCTCCCCAAAGGGCTCTCTGAGACCGCCTGAGTTCTTGGGCTCCTGGCTGCCAAGGTGGTGAACAGTATCATCATGTCCGAGGCATCTCGGGAAGTGGGGATTTCCAGCCTTTGCGGTTTAGGGGGAACCGGGCATCTGTCCTTAACTCTCGTGTTAGGTTTTGTGGGTTCAAGGGCTCCTTGCTTACACGGATCATCATCGGCTTAGGGCTGCGGGGTATCAAGGTACCCCATCGGGAATCATTCCTCTAGGCCTTATCCCAGCCAAGTGCCGGAAATGTGTCGGGTCCACGAAGGCCCTGGACCGAGCCTAAACCTTAAAGCCCCAATGCCCTGAACCGCCAACCCTACAAGAATCAAGCAAGCAAAAAAAACGAAAGGATGCTGACAGAACATACCTATATTCTGATACGAAGGCATGTTGCAAAGCCTATGCCTTGCGGATTAAATTGAAGTAACCTTGAGTCCGAAACCGTAAACCTCAGACCCAAAACTGTGAACCCCAAGCCCCCGGCTAGAAACCTTAAGCCCATATAGAGAAGAACCGAAAGGCCTGTTTTTCGTGTAGTTGTTGGGATAAATAATCGATCCTTCCGAAGGACTGATGCAGGGAAGTAATGGGATCCAGTAGTACTTTGTATCTAAAACCTGGGGGGGGCCCCGCAGGTCATCACCACGCTGACCGGCGTGGACCGAGCTCAGGCTGAGCTGAACAAACGCTACGCTCTCATCAAGGACTCAGCTTCGGGAGAGTGGGGAGTGCTTTTTTTTTTTTTTTCTGGGGTTTTCTGGAGTTTAGGAGTTAATTATTGGGTTTAAGGGTTTAGGGAGGGTTCTACAAACAGGTTATGGGGTATCGTGGGGTTCTCGTTTCTTTGAAGTGTGAGGTTTAGTTTGAGAGCTCTACAGTTTCTTGTCTGTGCAAGCTCATCCCTAAGCTTAACTAACCCCGACACCCCAGGAGTTCAGCGAGCATGCGCGGCTCAGCGGCAAGGTGACCACAGCCTTCGAGAAAGCAGCCGCTCGGCCGATGTAGAGGTTTTTGCTAGGCCTTATTCCGGGCTGAGAGGGTGGTAGCGGTTGTAGGGAGGGTTTAGGGTTTAGGGTTTATAGGGCTTCGGGTTTAGGGTTTATGGAGTTTCATATTTAGGCAGTACTGTGCAGGGGAAAGGGTCTAAGATTTATGTTGCCCCGCCTTTCGGGCTACAGGTCAGGCGGTTTCAGGTTGAGGGTTATAGGGCGCGGCTGGGGTTGAGGGTTTGTCTGCTTTAGGGTTAATACAAAAGTTACGAGGTCTTCACGCGTTCGAAAGGATCTATACAGCTTGTAAGGGCTCAAGCAGGGTGCTGTAGGGTTCAGGGCTACTAGGGGTTCGGGCATACAGGAAGACCCCGCATCCTAAAGCTACTCCGAAGACTGCAGGGCCCCAAAAAGCTAAACCCTAAACTAACCAACCCGGCAGGCGGAAAAGAGGCTTAAAAAGCAAATCCAAGGGAGCTCCCCTAGAAGCCCTGCAGGTGCAGCGCGCATCCCACGCCGGAGAGATGAGGGTCGATCCGGCGCTGATGAGCCGAAGCCGCAAAAGGGGGCTTCAGGGGTTTGGTTTGGGGGCTTCAGGGGTTTGGTGGGGTTTGGGGAAGGTTAAGGAGTTAAGGGTTGTAGTTCTCGTTGTCGGAAAGAGGCCTTGATCAACGCTAATGGAGGTTTGTCTGTTTTAGACCGCTTGTTGAGAGTTGAAAATGGGATCACCAGTTTCCATGCGGTCTCAGAAACCTGAACATTGCAGTTCCGCACACTTTCTGTATCTACATAGAACTTGTTCTAGAGCCGTAGTTTGAAAAGGTTGAAGGGCGTGTACGAGATATAGATATACAGAAGCCTCAACCGTAGATCCTGAAAAGCTGTCGGCCCCAAACCCAACTAGAAGGCTTGCACTTTACGGTTGTGGGCTCCGGGCGTAGGTGTAAGGAATTTAGAGCTTCTTATTGATGTAGGACTGTAGGCAATCACTCTCGCGTTATCATGAGTGGTTCCATTTCTGCATGATGAGTGCGTAGGTGTTGACCTACGCACATTTATAGCATGCATCTGCAGGCACTGAAAAGAGTGCAGCCCACTGCTTGCGACTCCGACGGTGCCCATGCACCATATCTGTTTGTAGTCTCTATAAATAAAGGTACTCTCAAAGCTCCATAGCTAAGGAAGTCGTTCTTCGCAAGCGACACGCTTCCGCGTGAGCTGATGCTGGACTTGACGAGGGACCTGTTCCAAGGCCCGAGTGGAGTTCCAACCATCGGAATAGTATAGCCGCTGATGTCAGTACCGTTTTGTCGATACCGAAACGTCGACGACGATCTTGACCACGGTCGTTGTGGTTGTTGTCTTGTGTTTGTTTGACGCGCAGAGCCAAGTAGAATGTTTCACTGTTTACGATTGCCGCCATCACCTATGCTTGTGTCCACAAGAGCGGGCGCACTTGAAGTTGGTAAGTTTACTTGGCACTTACCATCGTTGATGCCACGCTTAATGCTCGATGCTGAATATGTTTCATCTCAGTGTGTAATGCTCTGTCTACGTGTACTACCACCAGTCTTTGTGGTGTTGTTCTTTCTCATGTTGATTTTTTGCTGTTCATCATTTTCTATCGTGCTCCTGGAGACTCAGAGGCACGATAGCTCCGGAGGACATACTTACTTCAGGTTCGTCATACGCACTGCCATCCTTTATTATCGTCGTCGCCGTGGCCGCCACCTGCGCGGTCGCTCGTCGTTGTCGTGTCTCTAAACCGTTTGTTCTTGTAATTGTGATTGGTACTGACATTATTGGTATTCGACCATTGTTTCGGTGCAAAGCAGCCAACCTGTCAGGCATGCTCATTCGGAACGAGCCGCTTGCCCCTGTATGTGGGACGTTTGTATCTTTAGTCGGAACTTTCTGCGGTCGAGGCATTGCGATAGGTTTGCTTGTCAGATTTCGGAGATTGAGGGTGAGTGAAGTGTTTCTGGTTTCGGAGAGCAAGGGCTCAGGCTCAGGATGGATAGACTCAGACCGTAAACCAGATTTCTCAGCCTACGAATCGAAGAGGAGCCTCAGCATTGAGTCATCTACGTCGCTACGTATCCGTACATATGTATGCATGCGTACATATATGTATATATGTATATACGCATGCATACATACATATAGCATATATATACACACATACACACAAATATCTACATCATGTTTGTGGCAGATTCCGCCGTTTCTCATAAGACCGTGAGCGCACGCAGAACCAAGCTTTGAAAACAGTCGAAGCTCTAAATGATGATGGTCGGAGCTCTGATGAAGTTCAACAGTGACATAAAGAGAGTTTGAGAAGCCGAGCCCCGCGAAGAGACAGCAGCAGCAGCCTGACAGCCTAACCCCTTGAACTCCCTGAAACCAACGCCCTAGCCTAACTCGAGGTGTAACTCTACTAGAGGCCGCCAGAAGCCTCTGCGACTGTTCTGATTGGTCCTCTGTTCCCCAAGGATTCTGGTGACGGTGGAAAGCCACGGCCGGGGGACGAAGAACTTTTTTGATTGAGGGCAGGGGGGGGGGGTGAACTTATCTTTTCGGGGTTATTGGAGATAACAAGGGCTCAGGCTTAGACTTTGAGAGCTTGTCTAGGGTTCAAGGTTCAGGGTTTCGGGTGCATTTAGACGGATAGCTCCGAGTTTCATGATTCCGGTTTTGGCTGGCGTGAACTGGAAAGGTGCGCAGTAGTGTGGGTTGTGGAAGTCTTCCATTAGCGTGGGTTCTGAAAAGTTGGGCTAAATGACCATTATTTCTCACTGGCCACAATTTGCAAGGCCTTGTTCTGAACTCCACACCTCCAACCGCAAAAATCCGAAAGAGCTCTCAGGCATTCCGCTGTCCTCGCGCTTGCCTCTCATTCTAGCAGCCGTGATGCACCCGTGGCTTGGCCTGGCTTCTAGTGCGGCGGAGGAGGATTCCCTAGAGCTTCTACTCGGATCACAGCTCAGTTTTTTTTTTATAGAGTTCGCTGAGCTTACGGGGGTTTGTGAGCTAGGCCTTTAAATGTTAAAGTTGGAGACCTGCCATGCTGGCCGCAAGATGCTTCGAAGCACCAGCACCAGAAACCTCCCTTCAAGTTTTCAGAGCACCTGCCGATGCCAGACAGCGCAACAACATCGACCAAACCTCAAACACCCTCATACATGTAAGATGAAGACCCTAAGAACCTGTAAGATGCAGGGCCACAGAGTCCGAAACCCCGGCTCGCACCCACAATGAACCCCAAAGAAAGCTCCTTCAGACCGATTCCGGCCGAGGAAGCAGTTCCAATTCCAGGACGTTGTGTACCAGCCTCCTGGCGAAAGTTTTCAGAGGTCTCTGGCGACAGAGGGCATTTTCGTCAGGGGCTTTGGGGACTTTGGGGCCTTAGGGTTCTAGGGCTTGGGGTATTTGGGTCTCTTGGGATCTGGAAGACTTCAGACGCTGGATGACCGAGTGCCGCAGGGGCTTATACGCCGACGACAGGTACCCTGATTCGGCCAGCCAAAAGCAGTCATTTCGACATTTACCTTACTTAACCTCTCTCGAACCCTGCAGACATTACCAAATCCTGTAGCCTGAACCAGGAACGCCGACCAGCCGATACACATCTACCTCGTCATGCGAGGCTATGCCGTTGTTGTGGGTCCGTGAAACGGAAAGCCCATTTGAGAACCTGAGATGCTCATAAGATCCGCAAAAAGAACCCACTTTCCTGATGCAAACCTCCAGACCCAATCAAAGGAAATGGTTTCGGGGTTCGGCGAGCAAGTTTCCATACGGCTTCAGGCTTGAGGGTTTCTTTGGGTCTGCTTGCATTCGACGACCGAACGTAGCTCGGAAAGTATTTAGAGGCGAAGCGAACATGCAAGCGCTTACTGCAGGGATACGAGGGCACAAGAACCGGACTCAGGAAGTTGCTGGAGTTTCCATGGACCATTTTTCATGACCCTGCGTCACGACAGTCGTTCCGATTTGCAATCCGATGTGCAAAGGGGGGTCTTGGGAAATCTGGAGCCCGAAACCCTAAAACCCGACACCCCTCGCTTGATCAGTAAAGCTCTAGTCGAAAGATAGGAAGCACCCAGAGTTAGGATGCCCTAGGTCCTAGGTTCGAGTCATACGAGCCTTAGGCGGGGTTCGCGCAATTAGGGGGTCGGCTACCAAGGTACCTTAAACAGGCCTAAACCGTAAAAACCCTAAAGGCACTTCTGCCGCCTTGAGCCGCGCAACCCCGAACCCGAATTCCCCAAGCTCAGAGCGAATCCAAGGCTGCCGCCTATGATCTTATGTTACGTAATTTCTGCTGTTTTATGTTGCATTATATTATATACGGTACATGTTGGCCTGTTCTGCTATATTATGTTGTGCTACATCGTACTATATATATATATATATATATCATATTACATTATTGCCCAGAGCCCAAAACCCAGCCCTGGATCTGTGCCGCCCCGACTTCTACGATCAAAAAGGCACCCTGGCCTTCGTCGGCACACCACATCCCAAGGGCGGCATCGCCCCCTACACAGTGAGTGAGGCGCGCTTGCCCCATCCAGTGGTCTCTGAAAAAATGAAGGCCGTGGGCTTTAACCCTATACCTCTACACCCTAAGACCGGAACCTTCAGCCCGAACGGCTACGCATGATCTTTTGCACTGAGGCTTGTAAGCCCATTCCAATCCTAGGGGCAGCGATGGTGCTCACCGTAATGTATTCTAATTAATTAGTGGTGTCTTAAATTCAAAGAGGCTCCTGGCAATGTTTTCTTGGCATCATGCTATGTCAATGTGAGTCGTACTACAATTGTGATTGTTTGTGTCATGATCCGCACATTGTAACCTTTTTCCACGAAGCCATAAACCTGAAATCGGACAGCGCACCCAGAAAGTGGAAAGACGGTTCCTCCTGCTGAGCGCTTCTCTAGCTGAAGCTACCAAGGTCGCTGTAAGTTGCTGTCCATGGTCCTTCTTCCGGCCCTGTCTGCATTAAGCTGCCATGATTGTGTGGGTACCTTTAAGGGAACCCTGGGTCAGAACAGCCCGCGCAGAACCCCAAAACCCAAAACCCAAAGCCCAGAACGCTGAACTTGACACCCCCATACCCGATGCGCTCAACCCCCAAACCCTGAATCCTACGCCTTGGAGCCGAACCCCTACTGCTCCCCTGAACTCTAAACCCTCGACTTCAAAATCAAGTCCGGAAATATTTAAATTCCCCAATTCCCATAGATTAAGTTTCTCTACGGGGGCATTTGCGTAGGGTTGAAGCGGCTTTCGAAATGCAAGTCCCTACACACAGAGACATCGAGACTCTGTGGTACTGGAACATTCAAACCCTTAAACTTGCCCCTCAAACCCTAAAGCTCTAAACGAGAGCAACAGGTACTTAGCATTTTGGGAGCTCCAAAGCCCCCAGCACCCGACTTCGAGAGTTTCTCTGAGCAGGTCCAGTCCGCCCTGGGCCTGGGTCGACGGCCGCGCGCGCAGACCGATGAGGAGGACCCCGAGGCCATCTGGGTGCCCTAAAAAAACGGGGCCTTGATAATTAGAACAGGGTGCCGTTCATATGGGGGTTTAATTTAGGGGCCTTGACAACTAGAATGGGGTTTTGGGGCCCATCATTATTGCAACCCCCAAAAATTGTAGAGGTAATTTTGAAGGCGCCTATAGTAGGGTGCCCTAAAGGGGTAGGGGATTCATGACAGTTTACGGGTTTTGAGGCCGTTTGCTACGGGGGTTTCCGGGTCAATTGGAGGATAGTTTCGGGTGTAGGTTTTTCAGATTAATCAGGGTACAGGGTTAGGGTTTACCTCGGTTTGAGGCATCTCTGAGTTTTCGGGTTTAGGGGTTCTTATGCTCAAGGGTTTGAGGTTCAGAGGGGTTTAGGCCCTAGTTTAGGCTTTGAGGTTTAGGATTTAGGTTCTTGGACGAGGGGGTTGCCAGTTTGGATTTCAGGTAGGGTTCAATCCCAATATCTCTAGGCCCTACACAACGGTGGGTGGGTTCCAGTAGGTCGCATTCAACTCTCGGGTTCGAGCCTCGTCCTTCCTTTGTAGTTGTTTTTTTTTCCATTGTGTGTTGTTTTCCGACTGCTTCTCGGGCTTGAGGTTTGGGGTTCAGCTTGGCGTGTTTCCATGCTGGGTGGTGGTCTGGTAGTTTGGTTCAACCCTATACCCCTTCACCTTATTAGCTTATCCCCAAATAACCTACCCGTTTCAGGCATTACATGAGGAACTAACAGTACGAAACCCCAATAGGTAGGTTCGTTGCCGTCAGGGTACGGTTTAGGGTCCAGAGTTGTGCGGGCTTTCGGACCGGACTGGTGCTTGTCACATCGGGTTCCATGCGCACTTTTGACATCCATGGATGCGGCTCTCACAGCAGCAACTGAAGTGGGCCTTTTCAGTACTGCTGCTGGTGCTGCACAACATCTGGAAGTGCCAGAATGGAAGCTCGTAGCTTACCAGAGGCTCATCCAGAGGTTCGGCCTCAGCAATAAGTGCGGACACAAGCGGGCTTACAGGGCTGATCGCAACGATGAACCCTGGAAGCCAGCAGAGGATGTTGGCCAGAGCTTTGGCTTTTCCCCTTACCCGACAGTATTTCCGAAGCACCAAACCTTGAGTCCTAAGCTTGTAGTACTTCATGTGTTCTGCGAGTGTGCATTGCGAGCTTGAGATTCGCTGCATGTGCTGAAACTGACGATTGTGATGTGCTGCAGTGTGTGTCTGTGCGAATGTGTGTGTGTGTGTGTGTGACTCTGAGTCGAATGCTTGGTAGAATACAGAATGTGCCTTGATCCCATACCTCTAGCACTGAGGATCGAGCCGGCGACTTTTACCTTTGAGGGCCATCTACCCGAGGGGACACCTCTGGTGATCATTGAAGAGGGCATGAAGGCCGAGGAGGTGAGGCTACTTGGCAAGACCTATGTCAACGACATAGACTGGGCTTCGCTCGCAACTTGGTGTGGAAAGCCTGAGTTGGCCGACCTCTTTCGGGCCACTTGCCAGTACACTCGGTGGCGGAGGCACCCACGGGTCATTGGCAACACTCCTGGCTTTGCCTGCACCAGTATGGAAGGGGCAGGCATCAAAGGCCCATATGGAAGAGATCTGGTCACAGCGACCATAAAGCTGGTTGCATGTGGCGAGTCGGGACTTGTGAAGCAGCTCTAGGCACGGGCCGTGAAAAGAGTTGGCAGGCTTAAGCTTGAAGGTGTATAGGGCTTCAAGGTGTAAGATATCGGAGTGAAGGCATGTAGCCTTTCGTGTTTGGATTAAGTGCAGCTTGTGGAGCTCGAGTGAAAGCATGTAGCCTTCGTGCTTGGATTAATGTAGCCTGTCGTGTTTGGATTGAGTGCAGCTTGTGGAGCTCGAGTGAAAGCATGTAGCCTTCGTGCTTGGATTAAGTTCAGCTTGTGGAGCTTGAGTGAGTGCATGTGCCTTTTGTGCTTGGATTGAGTGCAGCTTGTGGAGCTTGAGTGAAGCAGTGCACTGATGTGTGTTGTGCTGTTGGAATAAGCCGTGTGTGTGAGTGCCAAAAAGTGGCTATGCTTAGGCCTCTGTATGTGTGTATGTGTGTGTGTGTGTGTGCGAAAGCTTTCGGGTTTAGTGCTAATGTGCTGCAACGTGTGTTTGAGCTTGTGTGTACCAGGATGGGGGGCCATGGGGGGAGGGTTGTGCAAGCAACAAAATGGAGCTCTTATAAGAGAGCTGTGAAGAAATCAATGATTGTTGAAATGGTTCGAAGCTGATTTTAAGCTTCATGAAGCACCACCAGATCTGAACATGGTTTCTCGAGCTGTGCAGATTATGGTATCGAGAGGTGTGGGTGACGGTTCGGATTTTGTGCACGGTGCTTAACTCCAGGACTCCCTCATGCACAACATGGGCTCGCCCCTGCCTCGCCCATTTTCTCTTTTGCTCTTTTAGCAGGGAGCCAAATTGCTATCCTGGTCCCTGCACTGCTTCTGGTTGCTCCTGAAAAAGAACAGTCCGAACACCACTTCGTGCTGTCAGGGCGGTTTGGCCCGGAACAGAGTACAAGAGCGGTGGAATTTACAGGAAGGTATCTCCACCAGATCTGAACATGGTTTCTCGAGCTGTGCAGAATTATGGTATCGAGAGGTGTGGGTGACGGTTCGGATTTTGTGCACGGTGCTTAACTCCAGGACTCCCTCATGCACGACATGGGCTCGCCCCTGCCTCGCCCATTTTCTTTTTTGCTCTTTTAGCAGGGAGCCAAATTGCAATATCCTGGTCCCTGCACTGCTTCCGGTTGCATTTGCTGTTGGTAGACAAAAGAACAGTCAGAACACCACTTCTTGTGTCAGAGCGGTTGGCCCGGAACATACAAGAGCGGCGGAATTTACAGGAAGGTATCTCACCAGATCTGAACACGGTTTCTCGAGCTGTCAGACTTAATGGTGTCGAGAGGTGCGAAGTTAATGCAAAATTCGTGCAAAAGTGATAGAAAAGGGAAGGACGGGGGGAAGAGGCGGGAAATTGGGCCTAAAGGGGAGGGCATGACGGGTGGGGGTAGGTCTTGTATTGTATGTGCAGAGAGCCTTGCACAGATAGGCTCTTCGAGCCAAGCTTGTGTGAAGAAAGCAATTGTAGTGATGTGTATCTGTGTGTGCTCAGTCATGCAATGTGTGTGCTTTTGCAGCAAGCCTTGTGCAGTTGATCAGTGCATTCAAGTGTTTGTGCTGCTCGTGCTCCTTGCTTGCCTGCCTGTCCTTCTACCTGCCTGCTCTGCGTGCTTGCCGCTGCTGTCTGCCTGCCTTCTGTCTGTCTGTCTGCCTGCTGCCTGCCCTCTGCCTTAAGTGTGCCTGCTGCCTGCCTGCCTGCCTGCCTGCCCTCTTCCTGCTCTCTGCCTGCCTGCCCGTGTCTGCCTGCCTGTGCCTGCCTGAGCAAGCAATAGGCACAAGTAAGTTCGTTGTTCTGATTTGCCTAAATTCACACATTTCAGTTTACCACTTCGCCACCTCACACATTCACCACTTTACCACATAATTCCTAGTTTACCACTTCCTCACCTCCACCAATAACCACTTTACCACATAATTCCAGTTTACCACATCGTCACCTCCACCATTCACCACTTTACCACAAATCATCTATTTACCACCTCGCCACCTTAAGCAATCCCCCTATACCATAACTACCAAAGAACTCCCCGATGAATAAATTATGAACCTACTTGTGGTCTCCTTGTATGAATAATAATAATATTATTATTTATTATTATTATTCTATTATTCCATTAGCAATGCCGATTTCTGTTCATTACGCTTGGTTGTTCAATTATTTTAAAATCTATTTGTTCCAACCGTTCTTTACTACAAACATACCGTGTTCCTTTTTTGTGTATGTTTAACAAATTCGTATATCCACTTAATGATTTAAACCACGTGAACTTACGAGTATATACATATGGTTCATCTAAATAATTTCGTCCGTTTTGGGCCTGTTCCATAAATTTTAGTATTGCTTCTTTGATTGGCACATAGTTTTTTGTTTCTATTTGTTTAATTTGTATTATATGTTCTCCTGCTTCTGATAACAACCTGTCATATTGCGTTTTAAAATCTTCTTCTTGTTCTTCTTGCTCTTCCTGTTTTTCTCCACAGGCAGTTAAGAATTCATTAATGATTTCTTCTTGTTCAACCTCCGAAAAATATTCAGTCATAATCTCACTACTATACTAAGGCGTTTTGTCTTTAAGACCTTTTGTCCAAACGGGTCTCTCAGGACATTATGAACCTACTTGTGGCACCCTTGTATGATTTATTATGTATAAAATGATGAACCTACTTGTGGGGTCCTAATATGATTTTATTAAAATATTAATAAAATCATACTAAAAGAAACATCTTGACAACTAACTATGCATTATTGCGTAGAGTTTTGCAAATGATGCTTTTGGTTCTTCTTCTGTCTTTGGTGTTTCTTGTTTTGGTTTTTCATTTTCACTACTGGTTCGTTGTTGGTTGGTGATATGTTTATTGGTTTTAAGGTGTCTTGTATAACTGGTTTTGTTCATAGTGCAATTACAGATATTGCAGTGCTTAGTTTCAGTCATAATCTCACTACTATACTAAGGCGTTTTGTCTTTAAGACCTTTTGTCCAAACGGGTTTCTCAGGACTTATTCGTATCTGTCTCCTACCTTCCTAATACCGTAATATTCAAGTGTGCTTTGCTTTGGTTGTAAAATCTCTGCATTATTCAATTTATTTAAATATGTATTTTTCCTGTTGTCATATGAAGCATCTTTATCAATAGGTGTTCTAACAATAGGTTTTTGTTTCTCTTCAATTGCTTTTAACCTTTCATCAATGGTATTCAACCTTTCCAAGATTTTTTGAAACTTGGATGGTTTATGTTCCTCTTCAAAATCCATCTCCTGTATCATATACCTTACAATAGGAAATTTTAAATTAAAATTTTTATAATAAAATTTTTCATAATAAAATTATTATGAAAACTTTCAAACTAATTATAGCATCTGCTTATGAAATGCTGTTGAATGTATCCATTACTTCCCTTTCATGAAAACATCCAATATGAAACACTGCATGTAGGGGACGTCTGGGGTGTTTTCTTCTCCTTTTCCGTTGAATTCTGTCCTATTGGGAGGCAACAAAAGAACTATACACTGTCAATATATATTATATTTTAATTTTAATTGTTTTAATCCATAATATTGAAATTATTATTCTTTAATTTTTCTACATCTTCTTTAATTTCTCTAACTTCTGTTCTCAATACATCTACTTGTTCTTCTACTTCTTCTGGTGTTATTCTACTTTCTCTATCATTCCAACCTGTATCACATATTTCAACACTTCCTGCTTGTAAATTAGTATCTGGTTTAAAAATGTCATCGGGTGAAGTGTGCCTACCTGTTGAACCAAATTTAGTATTTCTTTTATCAACAACTGTATTCGTTGTTATTTTGTCATTATCTTTAACAGTTGTAGTCTCCTTGTGATAAAACTGTCTTTTGCAACGGCAGGGGATACAAGATATACCACGAGCATTAATACGAAACCCTTTATCATTACTTTCTTCTGAAATGTCGCTCATTTATATTACTTAGATTTTTTAACATTTTTAAAATAATAACAAACTGCTTTCAAGAACTCTAACAAACTGTAACAACACATTCTGTATCTGGGTGTTTTTATTATATCTATTTTCTTTATCTCATCTATAACCTCTAAATACTCATCATACTCGCCCATATATTATTAATTATAAATTATTCTATGTATTAATAATAATGATTACACCTATAGTCAAACCCATTAATGTTAAAGAATATGATTTTAAACAGTCTAAATATGAAGTGGCACCGAGGTTGCCGTTCAGTCAAATAATAACCGGCCCTTCTGGAAGTGGCAAAGGCATCTTATTACAATCTATGATTTTAGACATTTACAGGGATGTGTTTGAAAGAATATACATATGGTCGCCAAGTATTTCAGTTGATAGTAATTGGTTGCCAGTAAAACGATACATTCAAGATAATTTAAAGGTAAATCTAGAAAAGGAAAAGTGTCTGTTTGACGAATACATACCCGAAGAATTAGAAGCGGTAATAAAAAGACAGCATAAAGTCATAGAATATCAGAAGAAGAACGACCACAAAAAACTATTTTCAATACTTGTTATAGTGGACGACTTCGCGGATTCAAAAGCATTTTCAAGAAACTCGCCTTTATTAAATCAGTTGTATGTGCGCGGTCGCCATAACAGCATAAACATCATAACAAGCACACAAAAATTTAACGCCTTGTCACCAATCATTCGTGTCAATAGTCGCCAGTTATTCTTTTTCAGGTTAAGAAACTACAAAGAAATTGAAACGATGGTTGAAGAATTAAGCGCTGTCTTAATTAAAAAATCAACCGTAGCAGATGCTAAAAATCTGGCAGAAGCAAAGAAACTTTTATTAGAAGTGTATAACATAGCAACAGAAGAACCATACTCATTTTTATTTATAAACCTAATGAAACCTGATGTAAATGATATATTTTATAAACGATTTGATGCTAAATTAGTGATTGATTAAATTAATACTTAGAGACAAAATACCTTTAAACGATAATGTGTGACAACAGACGACTTTCAAAAGGTGATATATTACTTGCTTGTTTATTAGTTCCTTTT